CGAGACGCCCGAGGGAATGGTGGGAAGACGAAGGAGCGCGATCGCGCGAGGCTGGGGGAACGGCGGAAGGAATCTCGCGATATTTCTCGGGATGTTGCGTCAGTCGGCGTTTTTTACTTTTCTTTAACGCTGCCGACGAATCTGCCAAGGACACGCCGGGCCCCGGCCACGATACGCGATCTTAAGGTGGAATCTTTCCTTTTCTCTTTGTTACCGCGTGCACCGCGAGAGATGCATTTTTCCCGGGATTATCGGTTGGAATTTTTGTGAGGTCAATTGGTGAACTGACCCTTTACAGAGAATCTTCTTAACACTACCGAGGATTTAATACGACTGATATGTAATCCCTATAAAAATTCTAATAGATTATTTTCGGTTTCTTCGGACGTTCGTTGTAGTATTCAAGTAAAGCTATTTATTTTCAAGATCATTTCGAATATTCAATGCTTTTAACACGTTGAGCGCCGGCCTCGTGATAATGCGGGATTTTTTCGTTTAATTGCTAATCCTACGTTCATGTAACATTTTAGATATGTATAACACAAATGCAAAGTAAAATTTACTAAATCGAATTCCTTATTCTCTTCCGTAAGTTAGAAATTTTGGTTTAATCGATGTTTTAAAATGTATCAATGTAATCAACGACGCTCGCGTTTGTAGTAGCTGAAATTTAGCCGGCGTTGAATGTGTTAAGATATCAATGATTGTGAAACAAGACAATCGAAATTAGTCATTTTAACTGGTACGGTAGTTCTAGTGTTAAATATTTAGAAGCCTCGTTGGAGAAAGATAAATTATTAACCAGTTAAGTGTGGAATTTAGTTTGAAAAATCTCTCATTGTGCGCGCAATAAAATCAAATAATGAAGTGTAAAATGTATCCTAACGAAAAATTAAAGCGAAACGGAGGAGAATTACATGTTTGTCTCAAAAAATAAATAATCCATCGTTGAAAAAGTTAGCACCATTAAAAGTTTTGACTCTCACCACTTGATTTCATACAGTAAAACTATAAAATTTGATTTTTAATGTTATACTTTGTATAATGCATCAATTTGAGAAATATTAAAATAAAATGTCATCTTTATCTCATCAGAGAATGTTCAAATGTTTCTAGCGAATTTTTGGTTGGAAATATTTAACATTTTCCGATGAGATGTAGTTGACATTGTTTGAAAGTATTCAACAATTTAAAAAGTGCTTTATTTCAACATTTCACGTAGCAATACAAAGTTTAATTTAAAATACTAAATATTTTACTTCTTCGTTTTACTGTATAAAATAATGTGGTGACAGAGTTGCTTTTCGAGTGCAAAGGGTTAATCCTTTGTTCTACAGAGCCGCTTCTCAGTCGCTATACCATTTGATAAAACAGAATCATCAAATTTACTATTTAATATTAAGCTTTGCGTAACGACGCTTTTGAATCGCTTGAAAACTTAGGAGATGAAACGATTTTGTTAGGAATAACAATTTTACGTGATTGAAAATTTATTTCGTTGCCGATAGTTATTGTTTATGATAGAAGTCAGCTTATTTTGGATGCTTCGTATAGCCGATTTTTGGGTGTCTTTTATTTAAGATTTGATGATCACGAATTTGGTTATAAGCAGTTACTCTTGTAGTTCCATAAGAATAATCAGTTCTTAATTAATTGGGAGAATAATGGTACGTTTTATTTTGTTACGTTTAAGTAGTGAAACTTCGATGTTTTTTTTTTAATCA